TACTCGACAGGGCTTTCCTAAAATGTTCTCACATGAACCTAACAGAATAGGATGCCAAGGCATCTGCTCTCACTCAACGATGTTGGATAGCCTACCCTATTGATAAAGACACCCTTTTTAGTCGTTGAAATCCTATCCTAGTCTCTTCCGAGATCTAAGGGATTAGGTTATAATAGTCCTAGGCCGGTTCAAAGCCCCTTGAAAATACTATAACTCATTGCTTATGAGGATCTTGTCTTGCGTTTCTTCCGAATACTTACAAGTATTTTTAGCTTAGGATTCTTCCGAACACCTAACCTTCATCTAAGAAATGGACATTTTCATGCCTCTTACAAGCCTAGTTGGTGAAGCATTCATAAGCAAAGCAAATAAAGAACCAAAATAAACTTAAACATACCATTAAAAATAAAGTTTAAACATCCATTAAACCAACCACCACCAAATAAGTTAGTTCATGGTGGGGTTCGAAATATTCATAGAAAAATCCATAAAATATTCGTTCCAACAGCCCACAAATAAAATAAATAAAATAGGAGCAAAGGGAAGTGAGAAAGAGCCTTCGACGCGCACCACCGGAGGTCTCCTCGACCACCACGAACCACCTTAGCTCGCTAGCTCCTCTCGGCGCCTAGCTCACCACTCCTTGAAGCTTTATCAATGGAGGAAAACCTAAGGAAGAAGAAAGGAAAAGGGAAAATAAAAATCTGATTTTTCTGCTACAGTATGCGTCTCCTTTCTTCCACACACTCTCTCTCTTGTGAGGTGTAATATATAATAAAAATATCTAGGGGTAACGATGATGGTATTGGGATATTGTTGGGTGCAAAATACCCCTCATACCCCTAGAATCACATGTCGTGCATGAACCTTATCCTCCAGGTGTCAGTGGTCCCCTAACAGGTTGTTACAACCATCATTTCACGTGCAGAGCCAGCTTTCCACGTACAGCTGTATATTTTTGTCGTTTTCTGCGCCAAAAATACCGAGACATTTCAATCTGCTTCAGCGTGTGATGCCGCGACATTACTTCGCAGCTCGCCTATTTTGCTTGTTGTTTCCTGCACATCACTAAAAACCACACCTTCCTCCTCATATAGCACCTTAATAAAATAAAATAACACAACCACCACAAATGCAATTACATGCAGCTACATACATCTAAAATGACTTATATGTACCCTTAAACAAACAATAACTTAAGTCAAAAAGGCCTTAAAAGTAGTCTTTTTACAGAGTTATCATTTATTTTATTTACTGTTTAGCCCCCTAAGTTTATGTTTTATCCATTTTATTCCCTTTAGTTTCTGTTTCATCTATTTTGGTCCCTAAAGTTTCTATTTTCTCTATTTTGGTCCCTAAATTTTCTTTCTTCTATTTTAGCCCTTTAAGCTTATGTATTTGTATTTTGGTCCTTAAATTTCTATTTTTTACCATTTTAATCCTCTAGTTTTTTGTTTTTACTATTTTAGTCCCTAAGTTTTTTTGTCATTTTAGTCACTTTAGTTTCTATTTTTATTATTTTAGTACTTTATGTTTAAGTTTGTGCTATTTTTGTCCTTCAAATTTATGTTAATTTTATTTTATTATTGTAAATATTTGTATTTTAATGATTTCATTTTGGTTTGTAATGTTTACTTATTTTTATGCTAGTCATTTATGTATGAATGTATTTTACTTATTTTATGGTTATGTGTATTATGTAAATAATGTTTTCAATTCCATTTAATGTAATCATGTTATTTTTTATTTTTAATTACATTTATTTCCATTGTATTTTATCCATGGTTGAAATATTCGAATCGTTTCAAGAACACGTATGCATAAAATGAGCGTGGAAAACATCACTTGTTCGAAGTGGTGCAATCCGACACGGCATTTTACGACATGGAAACTTGAAATAAATCTAGGTTATTTTACTATTTAAATCTTGTTTATAATGCAATATATTATCCTTTAAATGATAATTTTCGTTATTTTACGTAACTGTTAATATTCAATTTATATTTGATTTTTATTTTATCAAAGAGGGAATATTCTTTATAGATAAGAAATATATGAGTTAGTTTTCCTGATGAAGGAATGCGAATCTCGAGATTTCTTTTCAAGTTAAAGAATTTTCTCTGATAAATAATTCGAAGCAAATTAATTATATTTCAACGAATGGATCATATTTTAATTTTATATCTGATTCATACTTTCCACCAATTACAACAACGTGTAAGCGATTTCAGTACCAATTTTGGGCGTTTTGGGGGTACTAATCCTTCCCCACTCGTAACCGGCTCCCGAATCTGTTTTAATTGAATCTTTGTAAACGCAGACCAGTTTTTTGTCTTAAAAAATGATTTTTTTTAAAATTATTTTTAAAAGACGTTTTTAGGCATTCGACCTACCTAACCCAAAGGTCGATGGCGACTCATTTCCAATTTAATCCAAATCAATTCAAAATCACCTAATTTTCCAAATTAAAGTCATAACTGTTTTTAAAATAATAAATAATTGTTTTTCAAAAAAATGGTTATGACACATTATTTTATCGAGTTTCTCAAAATAGTTCATCAATTAAAAGATGTTGTTTTGTTGAGTCACCGACTATTAAAAATTATAAAATGGTAGCCTAACTATTTATATATTCCAAAGTAATCATTTTCGTTAAAAATTGAAGGTTGTCTAAGTTGAATGTTAACTTATTGAATAGAATATGATAAAATTATATTTTAATGATATTTATTGTCACCGTTGTTGGGCACTAAATAGGATCCTCAATTTAAATTAATTTAATTTAGTTCCAATTCAATATTAATTTTAAATTAAAACTTTTAATTGTTTCAATTTAGTCTTCTTGCGTGTTTTAATTGCTTTTATTTTCAGCTTGCAATTTTGTATTTTTTAATTTAGTCATAAGATAGTTTCTAAACACTTAGTTAAGCCCCTTAAGTTTAAATTTATTTTATTTTAATCCTTTACTTATATTAATTATTTTATTTAAATTATTAATCATTTATTCATTATAATAACAATATAAACTTATTGATATTTTATATAATCTATTTTTAATCTAGTAAAATTAATAATCAATAAATAAGTCATCTAATAAACTAATTTAATGGTCATTATTAATTTTTTAATATAATGATCAAAATTAATATAGAAAATAAATTTACTCTAACTAAATAGTATATATAAACTATATATTATATAGTTCATTAGTATATATTAACTATATAGTATATATAAACGGTATATTATATAGTTAATTAATTTTTAATTGTCATTTAATAAACTATATATTATATATAAATTATTCTAACTTATAATCATTTATAATTAATTTAATTAATAATGTTCAATTCATAAATTACTTAATAAAATAAAATTAATGATTATATTAAAGATTTATAACATAAGAATCATAATTAATATAATTTAATTATCATAATTAATATTTTATTATAACATTTAAAAATCAATCATATTAATTAATATGATTTATTATAAACTCAAAATCTCACAATTTTATTAAAATCTTGTAATTTCATCAATAGTAATATATAAGTCAAGTAAATGTCAAGTCAGGTAAATATCAGATCAGGTCAATAACAAGTCGGATTATTTACAGGTCAAGTTGAAAACATGTAAGGTTGAAAACAAGTTGGGCAATACCAGTTATTTACCAGGTCAATCTAGGGTTCAGGTTCATATCAGTCGGATGTAGTTTAGGTTCGGGTATCATATTTTTGATTCAATTCGGGTTCAGATCTCGGGTTGAGATCCACAATTTCCAGGTCCAACTTGGGTTCAGGTCAACACTAGTTCCGACTCGAGTCGGTTTCGAATCGTCACAATGCAAATCAAAAAGAATTTTGACTCAAATCAATTTCAATCAATTTTACAAGTCGGGTCAACTTTTTACACCCCTATCAACGCTTCACCCCAACGGTTACTCTCTTTTAGGTTACTCTCTTTTAATGTTTGGCCTTTTAAGGGTTGTGTTTTTTAAAAGCATAGGCTGCAGCCGCATTAAAATTAACAATTCCTCACAAAAGGTTTAGTTGATGTTAAAAAATGTTTGTGGGAGCTTCATCTCTTGGGTAATAAAGTAGTGTTAAAAGCTTTATTGGGGGGCAGCTGTGGTATAATTTTGAGGCAAAAGGAATCAAGCAGCTTTTCTTCCCCATGAGAGGGTCCATAATTGTGCAATTAGTGAGTTTGCTCTCCCCCCCAAATATCCCACCTTGGGTTAGCTTAACTCCCACCATCTACCACACACGGCCGTCACCACCCTTACCATCAGGGATGGTCACACTCAGGGGATGGTCAGAAGAAATCGTTCTTTGAAAAATTTTCAAATTGTTACAGTACTTAAGATTTTTTATGTATATTTTATTGATGATATATTTTTACCCATCAAATCGTATAAGTTCACTTTTAATATAAAATATTATGTTCGCTCGATGAGAATATATATGAATATACATGCACTCATCATATTTTATCTAACAATGCGGAAAAAAAATAAGATGATTTTGTTGATCACATGATATTTTGTGTGATAAAAAAAATTTATCTAACTCTATTCTTATATGTAATGGGATGAGGGGGAGGTAGGGTAGTAGGCTGCCCCCAACGTCAAGTTGAGAGCAGTTTACATGGAAGATCTCCGACAATCAGAATTATGAATTATCTACCGTAAGACTCGATCACACGACCACAAGATTAAAAGCCTTACGTTCTACCAATTCAGCTGGACATGCAATTTATATGATGGTAATTGTTCCTTACCGTTTCCTAGCAATCGGATTTAAGTAATTTAATGCAGGGACCCACATTTTATTTCTTGTTGAGATAGCCCATGTATCTATGATGGAAATCAAGCGGCTTAAATTTGGCATGAGCAAATATCTACAGAGATCAATTAATTAAAAACCCTTTATATAAATTGCAAATAATAATAGTCCAAAGCTTCCGAATCTTAAGCTGAAGTGAGTAGGCACCTAAGAAGCATCTCTCTAGTTGGCTCACTTACCAACTGTTTTCGGCTTCATCAGAGCTTCTGATATATATAAAAAAAACCGAGGAAATGGCTGGCCCTAGCCACCAAAGAAAACCAAGCACGGGAACTTTCCGAAACCAGAAGAAGCGTCCTCAGCAGAACGACAAGCCGCCGCCTTGGGCTGTTGTCAAAGGCCTTTTCTTCGGCAAAAATCCCCACCATCAACAAGAGCGCGACCAGCAGCAGCAGCAAAAGCAACAGGTGATGGAAGAAAGTGGGAAGAAATGCAAGAAAATGAAGTGTTCGGGTTCATTATGTAGCAACACAAAGGTGATGCAAAAGCCAGAAGCACCTTCCCCTGAACTCCATAAGAAAAAGACATCATCATCGTCATCACTTGAAGCTTCTTCCAGCAGATCCATGAAAGCTCCTCTGCAAGAACTCAATGGAGTAGTTTCACTTTCATCCACCAATTCTTCTCTTTCTTTATCTTCAGCACCCGCATCGGCCTCCTCCGTCGGTGGGTCTTTCAGAGGAATGCCATTCAGGAGATTCTCCGGCTGTTACGAGTGTCGAATGGTGGTAGATCCAGTCCTCGGAATGGCCAAAGATCCTTCCTTGAGGACTTCCATTTGCACCTGCCCTCAGTGTGGTGAGATTTTCATGAAAGCTGAACATTTGGAACTTCATCAAGCTGTTAGACATGCAGGTAATTAACCATCTTCCCTGCTATTTCAGCATTCGTATATAAGTTTCTTAACCTGATTTGCTGCTTACTGGCATATTTATCAACAGTATCCGAACTGGGTCCTGAGGACACCAGCAAGAACATAGTGGAAATCATATTCCAGTCAAGCTGGTTAAAGAAACAAACACCCGTATGCAAAATAGACCGTATCCTTAAAGTCCACAACGCCACAAGAACCATCTCCAAATTCGAAGAATACCGAGACTCCATCAAATCAAAAGCCACCAAGCTCCCCAAAAAGCACCCACGCTGCATAGCCGACGGCAACGAGCTCCTCAGGTTCCACTGCACCACTTTTGCATGTTCACTCGGCCTCAACGGCTCCTCCAACTTGTGCAACTCCATCCCAAACTGCAATGTGTGTAGCATTATAAAGAATGGTTTCAAGGTGGTGCAAGAACTCAACGGAAAAGGAATCCTCACGACGGCAACCAGTGGCAAAGCTCATGACATGGCGGCCGGAGTTGAAGACGGGAATGAAAAGAGGGCAATGCTTGTTTGTAGGGTGATCGCCGGGAGAGTTCAGAAGAGCACGGAAGGTGGTAACTCGGAGGATTATGACTCAGTGGGGGGTGATGTTGGGGTTTACTCCAATTTAGATGAGCTGTATGTGTTTAATCATAAGGCCATTTTTCCCTGTTTTGTTGTTATCTATAGAGGGTTTTGATTGGGGGAGATGATTTCCTTGATTCGGATTCTCTATTTTCTGTAGCAAAATTAAATCTTTGTTTTGCTAAAGAATTAGTTAATTACTGCTTTCAGTTATTGTTCAGTCATGGCTTTGACATTCATCAAATTTTACACGTTTATACTTGAAAACGCCTAAATACAAGATTTTTCAAAGTGACGCATTTAAGTCTACCACTCTTATTGAATTGTCTTTAAACAAACAAAAGGGTGTTTGTTGATTTTTAAAAGTGTTTATATTCTTTATTTATTTATTTTTAAAAGTATTTTTAGTTATTCGTGATGTTCGTTTAATGTTTGTGAATTTATTCATTTCATATTTGCAGACATGTTCACTTAATGTTCTTTAATCTTCGACAATCAACCTTCTCCTTTTACCTTTTCATTTAGGTTTAATTATAAAATAAATACTCAAATTATAGTGTTTTTCACGAATGTGTCCAAACTATTTTTTTAATGATTCAGGCGCCTAGCGTTACAAACGTTATCATTTTAGGTGTTCGGATCGTAATTGTCTTTAATTTTCTCTGTTAAGTGACACTTGTCACATTTTGGAAATTTTTATTTTTTTAAAAAAATATTATTATATTTATAAAAAACTCTAATTTCTCTTAAATTACAAAAATATCTCAAATCCCTAAAAATCCTAAACCCATTATCATAACTCATCGCCATCGACCTTTCCGGTCACGACCACAACCGCCAACGTAGTCACTGCCATCTTCCTAGTCATATGCCGCCATAGTTTTCGTCGATTGGTCGTCGGGATCGCATGGGAATGTGATTTTTAGCTTAGGGTTCATGGGGTACAAAATGACAATTGGTTGTCGATTGGCTGCGATTTCATGGGACTATTGATCGCAAGGGAGAGATGAGGTTGGATGGAGCTTTATGGACGACAAAATGTAACGGGTAACGTTGATTTATGTGTTGAAATGAAGGTTTTCAAAGTTTTGGGTTATTTCAAATTTTTGTGTGTGTGTGTGTGTTTTTTAAATTAAAGGCATTTACAAATAAGATATCTAAAGTAATAACGTTTGTAACTTAGACATCTAAATCATTCAAAAAATAGTTTGGGTACCTATTCGTGAAAAGCACTATAATTTGGGTACTTATTTTATAATTAAGCCTTTCATTTACAAACCAAAGAAAAATGATGAAATTATGTCACTAGTACTTAAGTTCCTTAGGTTTCACAATTTGAACTCTAAAGTTCATATTATGTTCAAACCAATATTTAAATTTTTGAAAAATAAGAAGAAAATGAGAACCAACTAAATGATCTTATGAACGATTTGATAAACTAGTTGTTTGTGAAAATAAATTACCCAAACACACAAACACATTTTCGTATTTGTTCTTTGAATGAATATAATTTTTTTTGTTTATATTCATTTATTTAATTAAAAAATAAACCTAAAATAATGTTATATGAATAAATATTTTCGACCAATTTGTCCAACGCTATGTTGATTTATGCCTATTTAAAAGCATGTAAGATATCATGGGGAAATGTCAACTCACGAGGCACGTTTTTCTACACTGAAATTAAAGCTCTTTTACCAAATAATTTAAGATCAGATATTTGGTTCGAAGTTCAAACTCCTTATGTTTCGTATGGAACACAAACAAAATAAAAAAATAATGTTTGAAATGGGACAAATTTTCCCGATCACCGAAGAAACTAATAGATATATTTTTAGTTAACAACGTACCTTCTTTGATAAAAGACAAATTTGAATGAGAAATATATAAATATAGAGTTGCGCCCATAACTTTGTTTCTCCTCAATGGGGCATTATTTTGGTTACATCAACGTGTGCATTCCATTCCAACTGCTAACGCCAAACAAAAATATTACTATTTTATTGGCATTAATTACATTTAGAATCTAAATGAATAAGAATTACATTCATGGCTGTACGAAATACGAAAAACCTGACAAAATGTTGTTTTTTACTGGAAGTTTGCACTTTGTGTAAGAAGCCAAGTTTAAGAAACAGCCAGCCGAACCCACATCGGATGGTTTTTGTTCTCTGGTTTTGTTTTTTTAGTCTGTTTAACAGGTGCCCTGTCGAGTGTCATTGATTTGTGGGGTTACACTATCCATGTTCATATTTCTTTACATATTCTATATGTTTGACTCTTGTTTTGTACTCATTATCTCATGATTTGAGAGTTCTATAATGAATGATAACAAAACCATATATTATTTAATAAAAATATGTAAAGCAACTATTGTATGATTCCCATATGAATTCTCGATACAGCTTTGGTAAATGGGTACTTTTAGGAGTTCATATTATTTTTTTGAAAGATTTGGAGTTCATATTTAACTGATTCAAATTGGATTTTATTTTGATAGAATTATTCTAAGTAGAAATGGAATATTGGTTTAGTAAGAAAGATCAAACACGAGAACAATGAAATATGTTTAACTTTGAATTTTGAAACTGCTAGATTTTGTGGGATATATAAAACTTGGCAAAAATACAGCCAGGGAGTGAGGGTTTGGCGCCAAGGAATAGAGCGTGGGAACTTGCTCTAAATCCCATGCAAGCTTTTTGTAGCTGTTCACAGCTTTAATCAGTTTGGCACTCGTTGAGAAGAGTAAAAAGCCAAATAAAACCTAATTTTCACCATCTCTCTCTCTCTCTCTCTATATATATATATATACACGCGCGCGTGTGACATATTTGAATACGAGCATAAAGTAATGCTCCATTATAATAAATGATTTTTTAAAAAGAAGTCAAATACGTAATATAGATTTGTTCGAATATATACCATATTTGATGTTAAATAAGAAATTAAAGGTGAGAAATGCTATTCATGGTGCATGCACACTCGGAGAAAAGGAATGAAAGGAAAAGAAAGCAACGTAACACGAGAGAAAATAAAGGGGTATGTCTATACGATAGTCAACCACAGCATTATAAGCGTGGTAGAGAGACTAGACATTGCAAAAGCAAAAGCAATCAAGAGATAGGGGAATTCTAGGACTTTGATTTAAGGCACTAAACAGTGGGAAAGGCACAAGCCTGGCCTTGTTACAAGCCCCTTTTCACACGATCTCAAAGTCTTTACCATATTCAGGAATTAATGGTGCAAAATCAGCTCAAGGATTCAACCATTTGGTGTTTGGAAACACAAGTATAAAGCTGTTGGTGTTAAGGCGCCCCCTTTTGTAATTGATTGGGTAATCGAGTCATTACTCCTCAAGAGATATGTTTAATAAGATATGCAACTCTCTCGTGTATAAATTCCATAACTTTTAGTTTTCTTTTCAATATAAGACTAATTTCTCCCACCTCTCGATGGCATAACATTCTCTCTCACTTAATCTTGTGATGCCCTCATCACAGGCTATTATTATAATTATCCATCTATAATACCCCAAAATTTTAGTTAGCAACCAAAACGAATAAATTGAAAGTTTAGTGACTAAAGTATAAATTTGGGAAAGGTTCAGGGACCAAAATGGTAATTTTCCCAAATATGTATTTTTATCTTGTGAATGAGTAATTTACCCCCAAGAATGACGTTTTTGTGTTATTCAGATTTTTGATACGAAATTTGTTTTAAAGGCTATAAAGCATTAAAGTTTGAGAAAAATTCAAATAATCGAATCGAATCGAATATTTGAGATATTTTGTTAGTTGATAAGACAATATTAATAATTTAATTTCCATGCCTTAAACGATAAGATTTTATATGGATCATTGGATTTAAGTTGAATTTCCATGTTAAATCTAAGTTGTTGGATGAAAAATGGCAAGATTGTAAGTATGGAATTTTATAAGTTGGTAACTACTAACTCCATAGATTAATCTTAGCCCTTGGATGGAGATTTTGACATGTGACATAATGGTGGACTTTGAATTTTAAGGGTTAAGTGGTCGTTTTGTAATAAAATGAATTTTAAATTAATTTTATTTAAAAGATGACAAATGGCTTTATTAATTAATTTGGAAATTTCAAGACTTTCTCCATATTTCCTCTTCATTGTCATGGATTACTAAGGTATATGGGAAAACTCTTTCATTTGATTTTTCAAGTATTTTGGTTAGGAATTCTGATGAAGCCATAAAATACAATATTTTTGTTCTTCTTTGAATTCTTTTCAATTTGGTACCATTAATTTATGGTTTTGGTTGGTGTCGTAACCGGTTTTCGTCCGGGCACGAAATATTATACTTGGCAGGGAAATTGATGTGAATAAATATTTTTTTTTAAATAATTTGAGGAGTCGCCATCGGCCTTTTGGGTCAGGTAGGTCGAATACCTAAAATTTTTTTTTTAAAAGAGTTTTAAGAAAACATCAATTAAAAAATTGAACTGATCTGCGTTTATAACCAAAAATTCATTCTTTTTAATAATAAAAAGGGATTCGTGGTCGGTTACGTTTAGGGAAGGATTAGCACCCCTACATCGCCCAAAATTGGTACTTTTTAATTATAAATTGTCTCTTATTATTAAAATTTAAAAATTCAAAAATATATTTAATTTATAATCCTATTATTTCAAAATTATAAAAAATATTTATTTATTTAAAAATATCAGAAAAGAACTTCTAGGTGCCTTAAGACAGCTCTTTTCTTTGATATTGATAAATATTAATTTAAATAATATTGTTTAATTTTTAATTTTAAAATATCAGAATAGGACATCCAGTTGTATTAAGACTGTCCTTTTCTTTGATATTGAAAACTAATATTAAAATAATTTATTTAAAATAAATATTTATTATATACTTTTAACAATATTTAAATATATAAACAAATAAAAATTAAAAAAATACGATTCTAACTATATATTCAAAAGCAATAAAAATACTTAAAATAAATAACTAAAATATAGTAAAATTAAAATCGAAAAACCTAATTCATAATTAATCAGAATTATAGGGATTAAACATGCTATTTTCTTATTTAATAATTTAGTGACTAAAATAAAATAATCTAAAATTCGGATATTAGAA